CCCCCCCGCCCCTTCTTTCCACTCTCCCTCTTCCCCTCAACTTCCATCCCATCCATGACATACATGCTCTAACAGACAGGAAATTGATCTCCCAGGCACTCCACCCTACCAACTACCACTGTCTAGCCCATTGCATACTTCTGGGTCCAGCTTCGTGCTGTTGCCTCATACTTCACCCTGTCTGACTTGTACATGTGCGCAATCTCAGGAACGAGAGGATCGTCAGCATTTGGATCCGTCAGAAGCGAGCATATAGACAGCAGAACCTGCCAAATCACCCACCGACAAACATGCCCCAATGTGTTTATCAACTTCCTCTCACATGATAGCCCTCAGATTTCAGAAGCCATGTTCTCGCAAAGAACAAGACAAGGGTTCAAAACCCTGAACGGAGTTCAAAAAGGCAACCACCATCACCGGGGAACCCTGAGCAACGGGGTTTTCATGGGAATGTCTCCTCCACCTTCAGATTGTCTGACAAAGACCTCTTTCGCAGTCCTTCGTGGTCCTCTGCAGGCCTTTCAATGAATTCAATCATGAGTGAATTTACATCCATGAAAGGCCAGCGCATTAGCAGGCGCACCTTGCTCAATTACTCGTGGGTTTAAACCACAAGTCCATCCACAGCTAAATTGATGCACCAAATAAAAATGCATTTACCAGCCGGAAATCTACAGAACAGCGAGATGACAATTCTAAACAGTTACCGGTACGGCGTTACCGTTGTCTGTGTTGAACAGGGCCTGGCAATCAAGGGCACACCCATGAACTGCGAGACACAGACCTGAGTTCAAATCCTCCCGCAAAATTCGTGGGACCCTCCCCCTGCCCCTCCCCCTACTACTGCCTCCGACGGACCCACCCCAACACTTCGCATCACCGTAGCCGGCCCCCTATACCCCATCTCATCGTCACCCGTCTCCTGATCACCCATCTCATCATCCTCCATCTCCTCCTCGTCGATCTCTATGATATCCCCCATCCCCACGACGTCCCCCATCCCCATGATGACCCCCCCGCCCACCATTCCATCGCTCATCGGCGGGGTAGCTAACCCGCTCCCCTCCACGATCCATCCTTGCCTCCGCACGAATTCCGCTACCACTTCAAACTGTGACAAGCTCTCTTTCAGCTTGTAGTGCACGCTTATACTTCTACACAAATTGGCCATCTTCTCCCTCCGTATTTTATGCAGTCGCTTCTGCATATCTGCTCTCGAGGCCGCATGCTTCTCTCGGAGTTCCTCGGTCAATCGCGGCCGTCCAGGGCCTTTGTTCGTCTTTCCCACACGCGCAACCCCCCC